TAGCTGGGACTACAGGCACGTGCCATCATGCCCAGCTAATTTTTTTGTATTTTTAGTAGAGACGGGGTTTCACCATGTTGACCAGGATGGTCTCGATCTCTTGACCTCGTGATCCACCCGCCTCGGCCTCCCAAAGTGCTGGGATTACAGGCTTGAGCCACCGTGCCCGGCTAAACTTTTTATTACATGTAAAATTGGTAATTAATTTAAAAATGAAATGGAAGCAGTGATTATATAAGAACTTATAAATAATGAATTCTGTTTTATTTTAGCCTTGTTTGCAGTCCCTAAAAATTATAAGCTGGTAGCTGCACCATTGTTTGAATTGTATGACAATGCACCAGGATATGGACCCATCATTTCTAGTCTCCCTCAGCTGTTGAGCAGGTACAGAAAGTTGAACATTTTTTGGTTCATCTATATTAACTGTCAAATTAAAAATATTCTGAGCCACTTGAGAAGGTATAGTTCGTGAATTTTGGTCTTTAAGGAAACTAAGTAAGCTGATAGACTCTTAGGTCATGTGCAAGCCATAGGTTAGTTGTGACTGACCAATAGTGTTCCCAGACTCTTACATTTTGGCATGACATTCCAGTATTTGTGCAGCTGCTCTTCCCTGATTCTGATATTCTCAAGAGTTAAGGTTGATGTCTTTAGTCAAAGAAGAGATGATTAAATAGCAGTCAACAGTATGTAAATATGAGTGGAGTTGTCTGTATAAAAATGTGGCAAATTGAATTTCTTGGTGTAATATATTCTCTTTGCTTTTTTGAAACTTGAGGCTTACTATATTTTGGCCCAAATTGGGCGTGTGGGATTAGGTCCTGAACTTTTACGTGGGGTTTGAATCTTTAGACAGAGTGATAAGAAATGCAGTTTTTTAAAAGTTCACTTGTACTGATTGAGGTCTTCATTAGAGCCAGCCATAGATAGGAATTGCAGAATAACATGGCGGTTATGAATGTAGATTCAGCAGTCAGTGTTTGGATTTGAATCCCAACTTCAATACTTGCTGACAGTGTGACCTTGGACAAACTATTATACCTATTTGCCTGTTTCTTCATCTGTAAATGGAATAGTAGTCTCTACTTCAGAGGATCGTGAGGACCAAGTGAAATTATACATATAAAATGCTTACAACAGTGCCAGTAATCTGGTATGTACTTAATAAATGTTAGTGATATTGGCCTTTTGTGAAAGCTTATTGAGTATGAAATTGCTCTTTCTACTTCATCACTAATCAGACGTTATCTTTTGCCCCTCCACTTTGGCCTTCTGGTAGGTTGCAAGTTGAAATGCATATGGGGGAAAAAGAGTCATATTATTTATTCAAACACCTAGTTGTCAAGTGCAGGAACTGTGCTGAGTAGTCAGAGTATAAGGACATGTAGAAACTTTTCCTGGGTCTTCAAGGAACTTATTAGTGGATAATTAATCAAATTTACAGTCTTAAATTTTTTTATTATAAGTGTTCAGCAACAGTGTTTTTAATGCATAAGGTGTGACCAGTGAGAGAAAATTGGTATAGAAAATGCCAAACGTGGTAAAAAGACATTTGAAGGGGGAAAAAAAAGACATGTTAAGGGAGGGTAGAAACATCCAGATAAATTTCTTTATCTAATGTGGAAGTATGTGAATAATACTGTCTTTAATAAAGTTATTGTTCTTTTTAAAATTCAGGTTCAATTTTATATACAACTGAATTCCTGCGCAGTGGAGAAGTTAAAGGAGCCGCTTGTCTCTGTGAGCACAGCTATACACAGTGTAGAATAAATGTGGTAGAAAAGTTTTTTTGGTTTTATCTCTTTTGCGATCCCTAAATTGCCACCTACTTTCTATTGTTTCAATGGTAAAATTAATATGAAGAACTAGATAGTGGTGTAAACAAATGTGATAATGTTTATTTACTTTTGGTTCTACTCATACTTTTTTGTAGAACATTAAAAAAAATGGACTTCCTTTTAAATTTTAACTTTTCATTAAACTTCTACAATTCTTATAGGTGAGGATCATCTCCCCACCCCCCACCTTAGGCTGGTGAATGTTAACAACACAGTGACAGGTTTAGGTCAGTCAAGTTTATTGGACCCTTGCTTTGATACCATTCTTGGGCACATACTCCAAGAGTGTATTAGATTTTTGTGATGAAGAGCTTCCATTACTTTTGAAAACTTTGTCTGATTGAGTCCAAGGTACAACTCCTAAGTGAGCTGTGTTACAGAGATCTCCCAGTACAATTCACTTACTGACCAGTAAGTACATTTTATAACCATTCAGGCCTTGGTTTGCAAGCAACGGACCTTAAACATATCAGAAACTATTAAAATTGGCTAAATCAGCAATCATAGGAATTGGTGTAAGAAGAGACTCATTTAGAGCTCAGAATTTTCTTCACATAATGGGGGTATTAATTGTTTGAGCTGTTGTGAAATTATGTGTCTTATTCTTAAAGCCATGGTAAAAATAGTGATCTGTGAAGGAAATTTCTAAAAGTGGATGTATTAGGTTTTGAACTCTGAGATTGCATAAATATTCAATGAACTTGAAGTTATATACATAGAGAAGAAAATTTGGTGTTAGCAAATGACAGCCTTCAAAAATATTTTGTAATGATGTGAATCCACCGAAAACTGGGGGCAAGGCAGAGGACAGATTTTGTCAGCATAAGGAAAAAATACCAAATTTTAAAAACTTCTTAAAATACCGATAAATTTGGATCAAATTTGAGGGAATAAAAAATATTAGAGCAAAGGAGTTTGCTGGTTGTGTCATTATTTAATGATCAAAGTATAGCTTGTATGCTTTATTACAGACTTGTTGACTATAGGCTTAATATAAACAAAAGTCTTGCCAGATGCAGCTACTTAAGAAAAAAAAGATTTTTAATAGAAATGAACTTTTGATTAGTTCTTAGATTTTTATGATGCCAATCACAGGGCTATTTTCCTGAATATTGCTTGATGTCAAAGGTATATTATACTTCAGGAAATCAGGCTAAGTGTAGCAAAGCAATTATATTCATAAACACTCTAGCTTTTTAGTTGGGGTCATGCCGAACCCTCACGTGGTTGTTAAGTAGTGACTAACTAACTGTGCATGTTCTTAGTGGTAGGTGAGTACCAGTCTCCATGACCAAAAATGTTCCGATTTCCTTTGAAAAAGCCACTAGTTCTGTGAATTGTCCTTTTCCTTCCTGCCCCTAACAGTTCTGCCCCTCTAGCCTACATTAGCATGTAATGTGTTTCGCTGGTAACTCATTGATTAGCTGCATCCTTCAGCTGTTCCTTTAGATTGGGGAACAAGACCTTTAGATTGGGGGAAGTGGAGATGAAGATAGGTTGTTTCAGCTCACCTTCCATAATTGCTTCTGAGTGAAAAGCTACAGCAGCCACATTTCAGATGCTCACTTTTGCAATTTGGGGAGGGTGGAGAGAGTTAGATTGTGTGTTTTATAAAGTGCTCTTAATAAGGAGTGTTTGATTTGAAGTTATCTGATTCAAGGCCACTAATGTTCTTTGTAACTTAAGCTTTGACCAAGAAATTCTTCACTTCTTCCTACTTCTTCACTTCTTCCCAATATACTATATGTGAGCCAGTCATCCATACACTAAGGTCTAGTTGACAAAAACCTTTGATTCAGGATGGCTGGGTTACTAACCTTGGAATGTAAGAGATCTGATTTTGAATGTAAAATTCATAACATAAATGGAAGTATTAAAAACTTTTTGCTCTGGTGAGTTACAGGTGAATCCCAATAATTTGTTTTTGGTTTTCTGATGGAAATAATGGAACTAGGGGAAATTAAATCTGGTAGGTGTCTACAGTATGAGAAGATGGTATAGGGTACTGTTTTAACACTAAGCTCTTTTGATATGTGAGGTCTACAATTCCAGAAACTGCATTCCAAATCTACATACTAAATGCTGAATCATTTTTAAATGGGCTCTTGATTAATAAACCCATATTTTTTGGTGCCTCCTATGTTGTACATTTGTCTAAAGTGAAAGCTCTCTTTTGCATTGTAAAACTACAGTATATATATCATCTTATTTTCCCTGAGTAATCCAAGTATAGTGCATATTCTTTGTAAAACTACTAAATGACACTGGAAAATCTTTAGTAGATTAGCGGGAAAAAACTAAAAAGTTTTACACAATTGTCTGTGGTTACGTTTAAGGTGGACTTTCCCTTTGGAGAAGAGTGATTTGTTTTTTTGCTGTGTGATGAAGACCATTGTGATTTTTTTTTAAGTAGATAATAGTTAAAATGGCATAATAATTCTGCACTTGAATTTGTACTGTTAACAGCCCATTTGGAAGATTTTTAAACTTTTTATTGTCTTGTAACTAGCATTCAGTTATTATTTTGGATATTTAGGGGTTTCATTAAGTTAGTAGTGTATTTGGACAAAGTGTAACCAAATTAGCCAGTCTGTTTCTTCCATGTTTAATTAGAAGTGAGAGGTAGACGTACTTCAAATTCAGCAGGCCAGCAAGCAATTGGCTTTAAATTCCCTTTCTTAAATGTTGTGACTCTTATGCTCTTGGCTTTTTAACGACTTTATTTTTAAAGTACTTGCCCAGTCACTTGAGATGAAATGCTTGGGGTAGCTTTTCCATCCTCAAGTAATGTTTTTACTAGTTCATAGTGTTTGGAACAGTATGTGCCAATCACTAAGACTGATTCAGAGTTTGCAATTTTGTATGTTTCATTGCCAAAGAAGGCTTAGTGGTTGTTGACTGTAGTATAAGTCAGCTTTCTGTAGAATAAGATTGGATTTTCCCATACTTACTCCACTTACACATCACTGATTATTTGGGGTAAACTGGACTCATTTCAAGCAGTTTGCCTTTGTTGTTCAAATAAGTGATGAGAAACCTAATACTGTAATTTGACTTGAGCCATAAAATACATTTTAATATTAGTTGGTATTATATTTATTAAGCTTGTTTTTGTGGAAAAACTAAAACCTAGATGAGTCTAGATTAAGCCAATTTAGGTGTATTTTGTAATTTAGTGATGGATCATATCGTAAAATAGAGATAAGTTGGGAAGATATATTGATTATGCTGTTCTGTTGAGGGAAAGGTCATGTATTTGGAAATTTAAACTTTTGGTTATTGTGTTGACATAGTATACAAGCCTCATTTATAGCTTGGCTTTGAGAACTTTTCTGGTATTACGTTTATGGAAAATGTATAAAGGAAACAAGTTTTGGTTATATTTTTATATTTGTAAAGTAAAAGTTTGGTTAAAAATGATCACTGTTCTTTTTTTATTTTATTGTCATTTCAATAAAAAATATTTGAAAGAGAATGACTCTGTGATTGTTTTGAGATAATCCTGTATGTGTGGCTGCTGACCCTACTGTGCTAGTGAAAATCTTGCATGGTTTTTCTTCTTTGTGAGTGGCTGCGGGCCTTTAGGTAAGAGACAGCTTAGCGTAATAGCAAGGGCCTGATGACCTGGGTCATTGATGTTGCCCTCTCCTTGTGCCCCACACACTCCCACCTCTCATTGTGTGTTAGCAGTGTTTTTAGCAGACTTAGTTTCCTGCGGTGTGAAGGGGTCACTAGATTTGGAACATGAAGGCAAGAAGTTAGAAGTTGCTACACAATTTGTGTTGTTAACTGTGTGTAGTCCATATTATTGGGGACTGAGTTTCTGAGTTTCCTCATCTGCAAAGAGAGTGTTGATTCCTTTAGTTGTTTTCTCAAACTTGCCTGGAAGTCATAATGTTCTATGACACACTCCATGCTTGCTGCATATGTAATACTGGATAATTCAATGTCATGTCAAATAGGAAGTTTACCCAAAATATGGGAATATATGTGTATCTGATAAAACTGTAGCCTTTCAGCCTTTATATCTGAACAGAAGTTTGAAACTTGATAAATTGAAAGGTTTTTCTGAAAACTTCACCACTTGTGTATTTTATAGCAGGCAGCAAAGATCTATGAAAAATAAATATGAAAGAAAAGCTACAAATGGAAATGTATCAGTTAGTTTTTCCTCTAAAAACTTGAAGAGTTGGTTATTTTTCCCTTTGCCAGATTTAGCTGTGGAACATACTGGTCCAGTTGATGAAACACTAGCATGTTATGGGAGTACATTTAGAGCTACTGGACTAGAGAGTGAAGTTCAGCTTCTAGGATTTGAGAATCTTAAGCAACAACAAAGCCACTCAGCCTATCTCACATGATGGTGAAAATCAAATGAAGTCATGAATATGAAAGGACTGTAGATATCTTTAAAATGAAAATAGCATTGTATCTAAGTATGAATCTTTTTTTTTTTTTTTTTGAGACGGAGTTTCACTCTTGTTACCCAGGCTGGAGTGCAATGGCGTGATCTCGGCTCACCACAACCTCCACCTCCTGGGTTCAGGCAATTCTCCTGCCTCAGCCTCCTGAGTAGCTGGGATTACAGGCACGCGCCACCATGCCCAGCTAATGTTTTGTATTTTTAATAGAGACGGGGTTTCACCATGTTGACCAGGATGGTCTTGATCTCTTGACCTCGTGATCCACCTGCCTCGGCCTCCCAAAGTGCTGGGATTACAGGCTTGAGCCACCGCGCCCGGCCTAAGTAGGAATCTTACTCCACACAAACGGATTTGTCTGAAATAATTATTCCCTTTAAGTCAAACCAAGTCAAACACCATACCACAAAGATGGCAGGAAATTCAGTCTATCAGTCATAATGGATGTGAAGGACCTGTTTGAAGTCTCACATCTAGATTTAAGGCATAGTGGTATTCTGAAATGAAGGTAGTGGTGAAGGCAGAGCTCTAGCTTTCATCATGGACTCTACTGATTCTTGTCCAAGCAGGACCAGCCTCTCAAAAGTCTGATACTGTCATCTGTCTGCCATACTTGGGGCTCGGGACACAGCTGACAGGTATATGCTGATCCAGTTTCCCCAAGCACATTAAGCATTCATCCGTCTTGGGTCCTGCCTCCTCCCCTGGTCCTCTCATGGAGTAAGATGCAATTCCTAAAATGTCCTTCCTTGAGACAATGATTTGTGCAAAGTACCTTCTTGGAGTGGGAAAGGTAAAAATAATGGTAGAAAAATTGTTAGTTCTAGTAAAAGATCCAAATGCAAATCATTTAATTTTTTTTTAAAAGCCAAAAAAAAAAAAAAACGTATATAGTTGGGTTAATTTCCCCTGTTCATATGAAGTTTCAGAAAGTTAAGCTTCTAAAAGTTTAATAAGGGCACATCTATTAACAGCAGCCTGTTTCTAATAATGACAGGTCAAATTTGGTTGGTGATAGTTTAAAACTGTTGTGGCTAGGATTGAATAAAGATTGCCAGTTAGTGGTTTAAAAGTTACCGTGGCTCAGATCTTGACTTGCAAAGTAGAACACTTCCCTGGAAAATTACAATATTTTTTCAAAATAAAGCTTTCATTTATTTTACTGATAAAGTTTAAAGTTTGGCATTTTAATCGAATGGCTGTGGGAAGAGAACCAAAATGAATTCAAGTCTAGTATTCATGTAGACCTTGTATTTAAAAAATGCATGTTTGCAGAGGTAAGACCACTCCCTGTCCCAGTAAAGCCAAATATTCATCAAAGACTGTTTAGCAATTGCAACAAAAACACCCTTTAACAAGATGTTTCTAAAAATTCCAAAGTGGATGGTAAGCCTAAGAGATCTTTTGTTTTCTAGTTAATAGACTTTTAGAATAGGCATGAAACAGACCTTGAAAGATAATTTAGTCCTTTAGGAAGTTTGGAAAACTACAAATATTTAGGACAGAGCACCTACTATGGGCTAGGAACTATTAAGAGGCCTTGGGGATGCAAGAGGAATGAAACTCTCATGGTAACACATTTTTTTTCCTTTGGTAACAGCTTATTGAGATACAGTTCACATACTGGGAACTATTTGAAGTGTACAATTCAATGATTTTTCAATTCAGAGTTGTGTGATGATCACCTCAATTATACATTTTTATCACTTCAAAAACAAACCTATCCCAGCCAGTGGTTCACACCTGTAATCCTAGCACTTTGTGAGGCCAAGCTGGGAGAATCACTTGAACTCAGGAGCCACAGACTGGTCTGGACAATATGGTAAGACCCCGTCTACAAAAATTAAAAATTAGCCAGGTGTGGTGGCATATTCCTGTAATCCCAGCTACTAGAGAGACTGAGGCACGAAGATTTCTTGAGCCCAGGAGGTGGAGGCTGCAGTGAGCCATGATCGTGCCACTGTACTCCAGCCTGGGCCACAGACACTGTCTCTTAAACCTGCACCCTTTATCACCCCCTACTGCCCTGTCCTCCCACCCCTAACAACCATCAATCTAGTTCTGTGTTTGTTTATGTACTTGCCTATTCTGGGCATTTCATATCAATGGAATCACAGCACGTGGATCCTTGTGGCTGTCTTCTTTGACTTAGAACCAGTTTAAGGTTTGTCCATATTGTAGCAAGTATCAGTTCATTTTTAGGGCCAAATAGTTCACTGTATGGATATACATATATCCACTCATCACTCGGATGGACATTAGCGTTGTTCCCATCTTTTGATTGTTATAATAAGTATAAATATTTGTGTACAAGTTTTGTGTGGAGGTATGTTTCCATTTAGAGTGGAATTACTGGGTCAAAGGGTCACTTTTGTTTGAGGAAAGGACAGATTATTTTCCAAGACAGCTGCACCATTTGACATTCACTTCTGGTGTATGAGGGACACATTTTTATTTCCTGCTAAATCAGGTTCATTTTTTAGTTTCCGCTGGAGGTTACTAGTAAACAGCAGAAACTTGAAAGACTGTTTATTAATATTCTTTCTTCTGGGGTTTCGGGGACCAGGGAAGCTGCTCGGCCCCTAGGAGTGCTCGGGGTAACCTGCTTTGGAGGGTTAATGCGGGGGCAAGTGGCTGGCGGCCTGGTGGCCGGGGTTTCCCGCACCCTGAGGCCCGGCCCGCCCGTCAGCGCCTGCGGGCTCGAGTGACGCCGGCGCCGCGGCGGGAGCAGGTGTCCTTTGCCTCCGCGGACCCAGCCGAGCCGGGGTGCCGGCGGCGGATTATGCTGGGTGCCGGCCCCCGGGGCCTGAGGGCCGGGCCTACGGCCACGAGGCGGCGGCGCGACCGCTGGGGGCGGGGGACGAAGGCCGCGCCCCCGCGACCGTCCCGCCCGCGTCCCGCTGGGGGCGGCGGCCTGCCCCGAGCCCGCCGAGGCTCTTCCGCGCCGGCAGGGGCAGCAGCGGGAGCGGCGCGGGGCGGAGCGGCGCCAGCAGCCAGCAGCTACCCTGCCTGGCCCGGCGCGGCGGCAGCGGCGGCGGCTGCGGCAGCGACGCCAGAGCCCGTGGGCGCTGTTCGCGAGGCCGCCGCAGGGGCCCGGCCGCAGCACGAGGAGGCGTGGGGGCCGGAGGCCGCCGCTGCCGCCATGCCGCTGCTCTTCCTCGAGCGCTTCCCCTGGCCCAGCCTCCGCACCTACACGGGCCTCAGCGGCCTGGCCTTGCTGGGAACCATCGTCAGCGCCTACCGCGCGCTCAGCCAGCCGGAGGCCGGCCCCAGCGAGCCGGCCCCGCTAACGGCCTCGCTGCAGCCCGAGCAGCCGGTGCCCGCCGGGCCCAGCGCCGGGGGACCGCGGGCCCGCGACGTGGCCCAGTACCTGCTTTCTGACAGCCTCTTCGTGTGGGTGAGCGAGGCGGCCCGGCCCGCGGGGCAGGCGCGGGGGCGGGAGTCCGCCGCGTCACCCTTTATCTGCGGGGGGCGTGGTGGGTGGGCCTAGGGGCCCCTCCGCCAGGGACCCCCGAAGGCGAACGCCTGGGGGGCGCGGCCTTGCCTGCGGGAGCGTAGACTAGGGAGAGGGGTGAGGCGCTGGGCGGGGGGACATAGGGGGGGCACGAGCGAGAGGAACGACGCGTAGGGTTGCGAAGAGGAGGCCCGGAGGGGCAGGGCAGGGTTGGGGGCTCCGGGAAGGGGGTTGGGGAAGCGGCGGGTGAGGGTCTGCGCCGGGGCACTGGCCGGGCCCGGAGCAGGGGAAGGGGTTAAGCGGCAGTGGGGAGGAAGGGGCCGGGTTTTCTGAGGAACCCTGGGGAGAAACTAGATTTCAAAGGGTAGGTTCAAGGGGAGGTCGGGCCCTGGGAGTGCGTTACCCCGAGGGTTGGACGAAGTGGAGGGAAGTTGAAAGCCTTTCCCACTTAGTCAAGCATGGGATTGTTGTTAGCGGGTTTCCTTTCGACAAAGAGAAGGCAGAGAGGAGGATTCAGACGTTGTGTATGCGGGAATTTTCGGCACTAGCGTGTGTTTCGACATTCCCTTTAGTGAGAGACCGTCTCCCACAACTTTTTTGCCACTTCCCATATTCGACTGTCCCCTTTGGGAGCTGTTCAATAAAACAAAAACGAGACCAACTGTGCTTCCTTTTCTGCTGCCTTTACCTGATGATTCATGACAGTTTTCCTTTGATGTCTGAACGCAGCAAAACATTCGCAGTGTCAAGAGGCAGCCCATCATTTTAACTGAATGTTTCTTATTTGAGGATCTATTGTAACACAAAGTTGCCAGGTTGTCTGTCCCTGCGAGATAAGCAGCATTGATAAGGCACACATGCTGGTTTTGTTCCTTACAACAGATAATTTCAGACTGAGCAGAACAACGGTATTTTGGCGAGAGAATTTTGCTTTCACCTTGGCCTTGAATACTTGTTATATAAACCCCACAGTGATCAGAAAAGTTACTCTAGGATTGAAGGTCTCATTTGGATTTGCTGTGGCTTCCTGGATCTTGTCTCCTTGCAGGTTCCCATTTGGGTTTGAGAGTAGGCTGTAAATGACTGAGAGATTAATATTCCAAGTTGATAGGATGATATGCAACTCATTTGTTATAATTAGTCCCACTGTGCTTCATTAGAAAGCAGTGGGATTTATGGACTCTGTGGGCTGTGGATTAAGTCTCCTGGTCCTTCTGATGGAGAGTTTAGTAGAAGGCAGTGAAGAGTGAAGTTCTACTGCTGTGTAAAGCTGAACTTTATGGTCCCAGAGAAGGGAGAAGAGGAAGAACTCAACATCTCTTGCTTAATTTCAAATCTGTTTTTGCATTTGAGTTCGCAGGTAAACAACTTACAGTGATGTGGAGAGTGTTTTTGCCAAATGTTAAGATTATAATGTAGTCTCTGACATTTTTTAAGTGTAAGATATAAATTAGCCTTTGAGAAGGAACCCTTATTTTATTTACGTAACAACACCGGTATTGGCCGGGCGCGGTGGCTCAAGCCTGTAATCCCAGCACTTTGGGAGGCCGAGGCGGGTGGATCACAAGGTCAAGAGATCGAGACCATCCTGGTCAACGTGGTGAAACCCCGTCTCTACTAAAAATACAAAACATTAGCTGGGCATGGTGGTGCGTGCCTGTAATCCCAGCTACTCAGGAGGCTGAGGCAGGAGAATTGCCTGAACCCAGGAGGCGGAGGTTGCGGTGAGCTGAGATCGCGCCATTGCACTCCAGCCTGGGTAACAAGAGTGAAACTCCATCTCAAAACAAACAAACAAACAAAAAAAACACTGGTATTGTTTAATGGTTCCCCCCTTTCCAAGACTTTCTTTTGGTAAAAGCCATGCTCAGATTCTAAGGTTAATACCTCTTCCGAAAACATTACGTAAAGGCTGTTGATTTTTCTGTGATGATGTTTACTTTTTAGGACATTTCTTTTTCTTCAAGCATTTTCAGTAGAGGTCTTACCTCAGGCCGGTTTATCACTTCTGGCTCTCCGCTGACGATGTTTTCATTTCTCAGTTGATCCTGTGCTGTCTTCCATCTTTCCTCTGGGGTCTCCACGTGTTTATTTTGGCCTGCCTTGGTTTTTCAGATCCTCCTTGTGCTCACTGTGAGTTTGTCTCATCACTGAGTGTATATGTAGTTTCTCCTTTAGCAGCTGGGTAGAAGTGACAATCTCAAAAGCCTTCCCCAGTGGTGGGACAGATAAGATTGTTGAGTGGATACTGTATGTGTTGGTGTCTTTATCAACTGGATCCTCCTTGCGCCCTCCCCCAGTTCTACTGAATTCAGATTCAACTTTTTCACAAACACTGCCTGGCAAGGCCAACCAAGACAAAACAGACTGAGCCTTCTGCCAGTGCAAGTGCTGCTAGATATGGTTTAACATATTGGAATTCCTAAGACTTATCTTTGTAGAGCCCAGTTTAGAATAATATTGGTCTGATAACATCACAGGAGGTTTTGATGAACTAACTCAATTTAAAACCTTTTGAAGGTGTTATTTTGGGCACTCTGGAGGACATATCTGTGAACAAGAAACACTTTCCCCTACCCTCAGTAATATGGCAAAATTTGATAAGTGCTAATAGATAAACAAAATGAAGTGGAGTTTGGAGGAAAAAGAAAGGAATTGTGCCTAAGGACGGGTTCATGGAAGGTGGTGTTTGAATCAGCTTGGAAGGTGGGAAGGGTCTCAATCAGCAGCAGTGGGTATTCCAGATAGAGAAACCAGCAAGTGGAGCTTGGTCTGGCGTGGGGAGGACAGTGCTGGGCACGGCCAGAGCGGTCCAGAAGCTGGGCTGTTATATTACAAATCTCTTGAATCTTCTGATTTAAGAGGGAAGTTGAGAAGGTGAAGAGGATACCTGGGGTGAAGGAGGTGGCGCAGGGGGCTCTGCTGTGAGAGGAGGAGGTGAGCAACCCCTTTGAAGGTTTCTTTCTTAAAGTGTGGATCTCTGGCAGCCTGGTGTGTTGTCATGGGGGCACTTGTAAAGTATAGTTTCCCTGAGGATCCATTTCAGAGGGAAAGGTGGAGCCTTGGAATCTTCATTTTAGTGAATGCCCTGGGTGATTGGAGGGATCACTAGTGGTTGAAAAACTGATCTAGGAAGAGGCTAGGATATGGGGTCATGTAACCTTGACCTTGCCTGCCCTACCGAGTGTGGACAGTATTTTGTGGAGTGTGAGAAGCCATTGATAAGGTTTGAGTGGTGGTGGGGCATGGAAGAGTGGCAGTGCTGTCATGATTTTTGTTTTTTAGAAGATAGTCTGGGAGCAGTATGGAAGATAGATTTATATAAATTGGGAAGAGGATGGGAGATCTGGTGACCTAAAACTTCCAAGGAGGCCTCTCCAGGTGGGCCCTCAGGCATGACATTGAGAATGGATTTAGTAGTTGGGGGCTTCAGGGTTTTTACTCTAACAAGTACGTGGGTTTGACCTGTTCATTTGTTTCCCCATGTCTTTCTAGAACTTCGATCCTAAAGTTTCATTCGAGATGGATTTTTATTTTGTTATTCATTTCTAGGCTATTTTACATTGCTCAGATAACGCTTCCATTAAGCTGCCTCTTTTGGTTCATTCTAGCATGGTTTTGGATTGTTCGGGTGTTTTGGCTTTTTTTTTTTTTATTCTTACTCGTTACTTTTATTATTTCCCTTTTCTGCTTTCTTAAATATCTTCTAAAATTCTAAGAGCAAGACGGTAAGTGGGGAAATAGGTATACGAAACTAGTGTCAAGGTTCTGACTTAATTATGCAAATAATATTATTTAAATAGAACTCTCAAGGGGATAAATAACCACCAGCAAAAGTGGATAAAAGTGAATTGACTATTTAGAACAGGGATTGGCAAACTTGCAGCCTATTTTGGCTAGGCCTATTTTTGTCTTAACAGCTAAGAATGGCTTTTATATTTTAAAAGGGTTGTAAAACAAGTTAAATAAATTAAGGAAGTCGCAGAGCCTAAAATATTAACCATCTGAGAGCACTTTAGAGAAAGACTGGCTGACTCCTATTTTAAAGAAACTATTTTCACATTATTATAAACTTAAGGCTGGGTTCAGTGGCTCACACCAGTAATCTCAGCAGTTTGGGAGGGGGAGGCTGAGGCAGAGGCAAGAGGTAGGAGGATTGTCTGAGGCCAAGGAGCTGCTTAGGAGCCTGGGCAACATAGGGAGACCCCCTGTCTCTACAAAAAATAAAAATAAAAAATTAGCCACCACTATAGTCATGTTAAAATAGGCTCTTTAAAATAGGAGTGAGCCAATTTTCCTCTGAACGTGCTCTCAGATGGTGAATATTTTAGGCTCTGCAACTTCCTTATTTACTTAGTTTTACAACCCTTAAAAAATATAAAATACCTGCTTCTAAAATTCTAAGAGCAAGGCATGTAAATGGAGAAATAGAAATATGAAACTACTGTCAAGGTTCTGACTTAATTATGCAAATTGAGCATAGTGGCCTATGCTGTCATCCTAGCTATTTGGGAGGCTGAGGAAGGAGGATCATTTGAGCCCAGAGGCTCAGGGTTACAGTGAGCTGTGATTGTGCCATTGCACTTCAGTTTGGGCCAGAGTGAGACCCTGTCTTAAACAAAAAACAAAACTTAAGAGCTGCAGGTGACTTCCTAGGTTTGAGTCTTTATAAGTTAATGATTTCAAGGTATATGAGAGAAAAATGTTAGGTCCAGAAATGTTGGGCAGCTGAAGGAAAAAATACTAAACTCATAAATAATTGGGTGGGAGCGTAGATAAATTAAAAATAAAAGGAATGCCTTCCAGGTGTGGGAGAAGGTGACTGCTATTTGAGCACCCTAGTCCTAGGCATGTTTTGCATGAGAACTCTCATCTATTTCCCTAGTATTGTTAAAGGAGGAACACAGTGGTCATCTATGTGATAAGGGGGAGTGTGTGCATGTTTGTATTATGTGTTCGTGTCTGGGAGCCTGCAGAGAGGTGACAATATGTGGATTGTCCTTAAAGGGAGGGAACTACCAAATGGTGGGGGGCACAGGGTGCTGGCCTAGGCAGGAATCGGATTAATATCCAGATTGACCATGTCTTGGAAACAGTTCCTGGTAGTTTAATCCCATGTCTTTGCAAGCTCATAAATAGGTCCCCATTGGTGGCCAGCATTTTACAAGGTCAAAAACACCTGTAGGGTTACATGGTGATAAATGCACCTTTCTTTCTTTTCCTCCCAGGCAGTCCTAACAATTTTATAATTTAGTTTCTGTTTTCTCCAGTAGAAGAGTAGAACCATTCTGGAAGGGACATTTTCCTGCCAGGCCTTGCAGTGAAGGGAATTAACTTTGAGGTTGAGTAAGTCAAGGTTGCTGGGATCGTTACTGTCTGACCTGCTACATTCTGTCCAGGGACAAGTAAAACTTGTTTTTATTTTGTGTAGACTGGAAAAAAAAGGCATATGGTGAGTTTTTAAAAATGATTTGAAGTTTTGACAGCACTATAGCTATAAGAAACATTCTGAAATGTTGTAATACGGTTGAATTTTTCTTTTTTTTTTTTTTCTGAGACAGAGTCTTGCTCTGTTGCCTAAACTGGAGTTCAGTGGTGCGATCTTAGCTGACCGCAACCTCCACCTCCTGGGCTCAAGCGTTTCTCCTGCCTCAGGCTCCCAAGTAGCTGGGATTACGGATGTGTGCCACCACGCCTGGCTAATTTTTTGTATTTTTAGTAGGGATGGGGTTTCACCACATTAGCCAGGCTGGTCTTGAACTCCTGACCTCAGGTGACCCACCTGCCTTGGCCTCCCAAAGTGCTGAGATTATAGACATGAGCCACCACGCCCAGCTGTAGTTGAAATACTGTGCTATAACAGGCGAACTTGTTTTGGTTTGTTACTCATCAGTTTGTCATCATATGGTGAGAAAAATGATGTGGAATTTCAGAACTAGTCAGATTAGTTTAGTAGATTCTAAACTTTTAAAAAAAAATTTAAAAATAGATAATGCATGCTCAGGATATAAAAGCTAAGGGGTACAGGCCTGGGATGGCGGCTCACGCCTGTAATTATAGCACTTTGGGAAGCAGAGGTGGGAGGGTCACCTGAGGTCAGGAGTTTGAGACCAGCCTGGCCAACATAGTGAAACTTGTCTACTAAAAATACAAAAATTAGCTGGGTGTGGTCGCTCATGCCTGTAATCCCAGTTACTCGGGAGGCTGAGGCAGGAGAATCACTTGAACCTGGGAGGTGGAGGTTGCAGTGAGCTGAGATCACACCATTGCACTCCAGCCTGGGCAACAGAGCCAGATTCTTATGTCCTTCATATACATAGCCTGAAGGAAGTTTCATTTTTCCCATAGGGACTCTGGGTAAACTGTTGTAAGCCTGCATTTTGACTGCGATTCATCACATGAGGTCAAGTGGAATTTTCCACTTGTGGCACCATATTGGTGCTCAAAAAGTTTTGGACTTTGAAGCATTTCAGATTTTGGATTTTTGCATTAGGGATGCTCAGTTGTGTTTACAGTTTTTCAAGCTTTTGTTAACTGAAATTGGGAAGCTTTAGGTATGACACAATATTATTTATTTATTTATTTGAGACAAGGTCTCACTCTGTTTCCCAGGCTGGAGCAGTGCAGTGGCACAGTCACAGTTCACTATAGCCTTGACCTCCTGGGCCCAAGAGATCCTCCCACCTCAGCCTCCTCAGTAGCTGAGACTACAGGTGCATACCACCCCACCAGGCTGTTTTGTATCTTTTGTAGAGATGGGGTTTCACTATGTTGCCCAGGCTGGTGTTGAATTCCTGAGTTCAAGCAGTCCCCTGGACCTTGGCCTCCCCAAGTGCTGGGATTAAAGAGTTGAGCCACCATGCCCAGTCCGTATTTGTAATTAACATATAATAATTATCATTAAGGCATTTTTCCTTAAATAGACAAATAGTTATTAATAATCATTAAGGTGTTTTTAAAATCTTTGTTGATAATCTTAAAATAATTTTTAGTTGCTTTTAACCCTTTGTAGCTTTGGCTACAAAGTTCACAACAGCTTATCTCCTTTTTACATAATTTCTCTTTTTAGTATCAGTATACTTTCTCAAGGCTTTTTTTTTTTTTTTTTTCCTGTTTAGCCATGTTAATTTTCAGATCTTCATTTAAATTAAAATAGGAAGCGGTTGTCTATGGGTGATGGGATTATGAGAGACTTTTACCTTTTCTTTGATAAATTAAAGATATACATTTTTTATACTTTATTTTGAACTCAGAGACTTTTATTTAGGCCGGGTGCAGTGGCCCATGCCTGTAATCCCAGTACTTTGGGAGGCCGAGGTGGATGGATCACTTGAGCCCAGGAGTTCGAGACCAGCCCGGGCAGCATGGTGAAACCTTGTGTCTACACAAAAATACAAAAATTAGTGTGGTAGCTCACACCTGTAATCCCAGCTACTTGGAAGGCTGAGACAGGAGAATAGCTTGAACCTGGAAGGCGGAGGTTGCAGTCAGCAGAGATTGAGCCATTGTACTCCAGTTTAGGCAACAGAGTGAGGCTGTCAGAAAAAAGCAAAACCAAAAAACAGACCTTTATTTTAAAAAGTTTGAGAAATAATGAATAATACTTTATTTTTTGTTTGATAACTTAGGATGAGTGTGAGAGTGCTATTTGGAACAGAGAAATGTTTCAGCGACCCTATATTTGTTTTTTTTCTCCATCATTACTCTCGTAGTAACCTGCTTGGCCTTCTGTTAAATTGCTTACTATGTTCTATCTCTTGTAGGTTCTAAAAGCTCTTTGAGTTTAGGGTTCAGAGCTCTCTCATTTTGCTGATTTCCCACATGCCTTGAACAAGTGCTAAATGTGTTGCATTCATTTTTACAATTCATATGCCTACATGTAAAAATAGGAAGAATCCTTTTAAGCAATTGTGTTGTAATTAAGTTGGGGCATGTTTGGCTAGGGGATGTGACGTGAAGGGTTGTGGTTTTTTTCTTATGACATTTCGCTTAGTTAGTGTGGCTGAGATTGACTGGTTAGATCACAACAAAGGTGAGTCTTTTTAGCATCTATTTCATCACCTTAAAAATGAACATTTTAAGTTACCTGAATTGTTTTTCCTTTTTAAAAAATTTTATATATTTTTCAGTAGGGACAGAGTTTTGCTGTGTTGCCCAGGCTGGTCTCAAACTCCTGGTCTCAAGCAGTCCTCCCACCTTGGTCTCCCAAAGTGCCAGGATTACAAGTGTGAGCTGACCAGGCTCCTGGTAGCAATCTGGATCGTTTTGAATAGGCCTGTTGCACAAATTAGGATATTTGGGGGAACTAGTTTGGGCTTTTGTTCCTGGTTGTTTGAAGGATTTAAGTACCAAAACAGTTTATTTTTTCAGCAGAACTATTTTTGTTTTGAGCCTTTAAAAATATATTACATACTTCCTTGGCCCATCAGACAGAAAGAATTGTAATCATTTGTAATGAATCAGGGCTGCCTTTAAGTGTTCTCCCAAAGGAGGGGTGGTTGGAGGTACTAAGTAACAGACCCTGAGGAGATCTCAGGGATCTTCTTTCTTAAATTACTCTCCTCTATCCCCTTTCTTTCTTATTTAAAATTATCACTTGCTTTTATAAGTAGAGGGAAGAGTGACTTGGCAAAGGTAATATGGTAAATTTAGTGAGTCAAAGGCAGAAGCAGCTTGACTGAATTGGAGTTCCTTTTCAATTGCTCTCAACAAGTCGTCTTTACTGTCTTTATCAAGGTCCTTTTGGCTTTTGGGGGCTATTCAGAGTAATGTGATACCCCACACTAATCTCTTGGTTGGGGACAGCCAACTCTTCCATTTTGTAAGCATTAAGATTGGTTGTGTAGGTGTAAGGATATTCATCACTTAGGGCTTTTTTTTTTTTTTTTTAAGTTTTCTCATAGACTGTTGAAGAAGGCCTTGGTTTTACATTGGCATCCCCAGGTTGCCTTTCATCTCTTAGCCCCTCTCACCAATTTTTGTTTTTCTTCTGTTTTCCCGATTCTACCACACTACAATGCCACACAACCTTTACTTCAAAGCCAACGCCAAGCATGAAGAACATTTATCTTTTGGTTGAAAGACTTTTCCATTGCAATAAATGTTAAAATATTCTCTCTCTATATATATTTTGGTTATTAGTTCCTTATAATGAGACTTTTTTTGTGATCATCCACACTCATACCCTTATCTCCTGTTTGTTTGGTAAGACAGAATCTCTGGGTGCTGGATTTTATTCTTCATGGTAACTTCAATTTCTAGAATAGTTTTCTTGAAGGCTACCAAAAATAATGTCAGAAATGAGGTACTTGGGAGGGACCTGTAGTTTACAAGTTTCATATAGTTTTGCACATGTAGTACAAAGTGTGCACACAATTCAGTTAAGGCTAAAACATGAGGTGGCCTGCCGGAGGGTGTAGGGTATATATTGGTACAAGTGCTGTGACTTAGCTGTTGAGCTGGTGCCTCTCCTCCCAATCGTCATCCCTACACCCACTGGCCAGAACAGTGTGTGCTTTCAGATATTACTTATCTTGCATTGGGAGACAAACAGAAAGACTCACTTGTCACTGGAAATGATGGCTGGATTCTTAATATGAGATTTTTAGAGCTGCTTTTATTTTTCAGCAGGAGGAAATAAACTTCCTTTCTCTGATTTGTGTACAGGTTCTAGTAAATACTGCTTGCTGTGTTTTGATGTTGGTGGCTAAGCTCATCCAGTGTATTGTGTTTGGCCCTCTTCGAGTGAGTGAGAGACAGGTAAGTCTACACTGAAAGGATGGATTCTTGTGACTAGATTTTTTTTTTTTTTTTAAACTTTGTGTTTTTACGAATTCAGATGTGTGGAAAAGTTCCATGAATACAATGTATCCTTTATCCAGTGTTTTGTTCTAGTTGCTTTAATATTCACTTTTTATTTATACATACTTTTTGTTTCTGAGTCATTTGAAAGTAAGTTGTGGACATCATTACCCTTTTGCCCCTAAATACTTCAGTGTGTATTTTCTAAGAGCAAAGGCATTTTTACAGCACAGTGATTAAAATTAGGAAATTTAACATTGATAAACTACTTTGTCTAATCCACAGCCCATATTCAGTGTAGCCAAGTTGTCCAAATATTGTTTTTTATAGCATTTTTTTCTCCGTGACTTTTAGGAATGTTGTTTTTAAAGAAGCCTAGATTGGTTTCGTTTTGAATGATCATAAATGTTACCCCATAGAATGTGGGTTCTTTTCCAAAAGAATTTACCAGGAGATTCTGTGGAAAGGTAAATTAAGAATCACTGTTTTATAAGCATAAAATTAGATGATTTGTTCTTGTTTTAGGTGAGATTGTCTGACATTGGGAAGTGACGCTCAGAATGGGGAGGGGACACTTTCAATGAAGAATTATGCCACAAGCATGCTATATAGATTGGCAGTTCCCCAAGGATTTAGGTGGGAAGGGTGTAGAATGGTTTTTTTTTTTTTTTTTTTTTGAGACAGAGTCTTTCTCTGTCACCCAGACTGGAGTGCAGGGTATGATCTCAGCTCATTGCAACCTCCGCCTCCTTGGTTCAAGCACTTCTGCCTCACCCTCCCAAGTAGCTGGGGATTACAAGCGTGCACCACCACACCTGGCCAGTTTTTGTTTACAATCCATATTCAGTGGACTGAATTTTAATAGAGACTGAATTTTTAGTAGAGACATGGTTTTACTGTGTTGGCCAGGCTGGTCTTGAACTCTGACCTCAGGTGATCCACCTGCCTTGGCCTCCCAAAGTGCTGGGATTACAGGCATGAGCCACTGCGCCTGGCATGGTATGTTTTAAAGTAAGAATTTAGAACTGGCCTTCAAAATCTCAACGTAAGAACAAAACTGTTGTATTCTATTTTATCCCAGTGATAAGACACAGGAACCTACTACATGAAAAGCACAACAACAGATTTACTTTGTGTTCAAAGTGCAGTGTTCATTCTCTCTTTACTTAACCCTTTTCAACCCAAATCTCGTTTTGTAAAATCAGCTGAAGTCCTAGTTTAGAGCTGACACGTGTTACTCAGTGGTTGAGCCCTTAAATGCCATTGTGAGCAGGACTATTTTGTTTTCCAAGAGATTTTTTATTAGTTAGTGTTCAGTACTTTCTCCAGTATCAACTCTAGAGGTCTCCCAGATAGGTTCTAAATGCTGCTTTTTTGGGGGGTAGAGGGTCGGGGGAAAGACAGGGTCTTGCTCTGTCACCCAGGCTGTAGTGCAGTGGTGCAATCTCTGTTCACTGCATCCTCAACCTCCTGGGTTCAAGCAATCCTCTCATCTCAGCCTCCTGAGTACCTGAGACTACAGGCACGTGCCACACCTGGCTGATTGTTTCGGTATTTATAGAGACGGGGTTTTACCATGTTGCCCAGGCTGGTCTCAAACTGCTAAGCTCAAGCAATCCGCCCGCCTCAGCCTCCCAAAGTGCTGGAATTACAGAAATGAGCCACCACAACCAGCTTAAATGCTTCTTTTGATACTTCAAGTTTTCCTTCAAATTTTTGATTTGTAGACCAGAAATTGGTCAGCCCAGGCAGGCTTGGTGGATTGATCTGGTACCAGTGGGCTATACTTTATTTTCCCTAAAAGTTTAGTTCTATCAGTTTGAAATTTATTTATTTATTTATTTTTGAGATAGAGTTTCACTCTTGTTGCCCAGGCTGGAGTGCAATGGCACGACCTTGGCTCACTATAATTTCCGTCTCCTGGGTTCAAGTGATTCTCCTGCCTCAGCCTCCTGAGTAGCTGGGAACACAGGCATGCGCCACCACACCTGACTAATTTTAGTGGAAACGGGATTTATCTATGTTGGTCAGGCTGGTCTGAAACACCTGACCTCAGGTGATCTGCCCGATCTCGGCTCACTATAATTTCTGCCTCCTCCCTCCTAAAGTGCTGGGATTACAGGCATGAGCTGTCCAGGTTGAAATTTACAGAAAGTATGATGTTTACTTATAAGTATTTTGGGGATTTTTTACTAGATCAAGAAGTGATTATAATGAGCATATTTGTTATCCAGCTACACTTTTGGTTTTTCCAGCATTGGTCGTATCTTCCCTGCTGTTCTATATTGGCTTATTTTATGTTTAATGTCATCCAGTAGCATCAGTGAAGAACCTTTTTGAGTTAGAACTCTCTAGAATTGACATAGGTTTGCTCTGTGGGTGCTTAAAGTTCTAGAAATAGAGTCATGCTGGAGGCAAAGACCTCGAATATCTAAAATGATTAAGTGGAGGCTTAGAGCAAGGAGGTTTTTTGATTTTTTTTTTTTTTTTTTAAGTGCTTAGTGCCTGTTATGGTACTTGAGCCCAGGAGTTTGGGGCTGCAGTGAGCTACAACTTGGCCACCGTACTCCAGCCAGGATGACAGAATAAGACTCTGTCTCTTTAAAAAAAAAAAAGTATACTTAGAGTCATGCTTCCATTCTTACTCTCTTCACTCGGTTCTCCTAGATGGCTTGATAGTCTACTTTAACATGTGGGGGAATTGTATCCTCCTTATTGCGCTCTTTTTTTTTTTTTTTTTTTTTTTTGAGACAGAGTCTAGCTCTGTTGCCAGACTGGAGTGCAGTGGCGTGATCTCAGCTCACTACAACCTCCACCTCCAGGGTTCAAGTGATTCTCCTGCCCCAGCCTCCTAAGTAGCTGGGACTACAGGCATGCGCCACCATGGCCAGCTAATTTTTGTATTTTGAGTGCAGACGGGGTTTTACCATATTGGCCAGGATGGTCTTATCTCTTGACCTCGTGATCCTCCCGCCTCAGCTTCCCAAAGTGCTGGGATTACAGGCGTGAGCCACTGCGCCTGGCTGCTCTCTTTTATTTCATGGTTAGTGAAGGTTTTTAAAACTGGAAGCCCTCAGTGTAAAAGAGTACAGTCAAGCAGATATGCATACACACTACCCATACTTACATGACTGCTTTGGAAATTAGGTAGATTTTACTTATTATAAACCATAAAAACATTTGTAATTTTTTATTTGACAGTGCTGAAGTAACTCATACAAAGATACATACAAAAATACTCATCACAATTTTTTTTTTTTTTTGAGACAGAGTCTTGCTCTGTTGCCCAGGCTGGTGTGCAGTGGCATGATCCTGGCTCCCTGCAGTCTTCACCGCCCAGGTTCAAGCAATTCTTGTGCTTCAGCCTGCTGAGTAGCTGGGATTACAGGCATGTGCTGCCACACTCAGCTAATTTTTGTATTTTTATTCGAGACGGGATTTACTCAGGCTGGTCTTAAAGTCTTGGGCTCAAGTGAGCCACACTCCTCTGCCTCCCAGAGTGCCGGGATTACGTGTGCGAGCCACCACGCCCAACCCTCATTATAATGTTTTTTTTGAATGGTGAAAATTTTAAACAGTTTCATTGTCTATCTTAAGCCATTAAAATGGTATACTGGCATATTCAGAGAATATTCATTGACATTGTTGGTAAGGTTCTCACAATACAACAGATGAAAGAAAGCAGTGTGCAAAAATTAATGTGTTTTGCACATAGGGAAAAGACAAGAAAATTCATAAAAATGTTAAGCCCTCATTTTTCATTTTCCTTGTACTTTGTATGCCCCATTTATTATGAGCTGACAAATGGTTGTGTTATGTTTTAAATTGAAGAACTTTTTTTTTTTTAAAAAAAAAAGGCTTATCTTTTTATTGTGTAAGAATCTGGAAGGTAGAAGTAGTAAAAATGATACCAATGGCCCTTACCATTCTTTTTCATTGTGCATGAAAAATATAAGCATTTTCTTCTTGTTTTTGAGACATGGTCTTGCTCTGTCGCCCAGGCTGGAGTGAAGTGGCACAATAATGGCTCACTGTAGCCTTGACCTCCTGGGCTCAACTGATCCTCCTACCACAGCCTCCTGAGTAGGTGGGGCTACAGACGTGCACCACCATGCCCAGTTAATTTTTGTGGATTTTTTTTTTTTTTTTTTTTGAGGTGGAGTTTTGGTCTTTTGCCCAGGCTCGAGGGTAATGGCGCTGTCTCAGCCAACCTCTGCCTCCCGGGTTCAAGAGATTCTCCTGCCTCAGCCTCCTGAGTAGCTGAGATTATAGGCGCCTGCCACCATTCCCAGCTAATTTTTTATTTTTAGTAGAGATGGGGTTTCTCCATGTTGGTCAGGCTGGTCTTTAACTTGTAACTTAAAGTGATTCGCCCACTTTGGCCTCCCAGAGGTCTAGGATTACAGGCATGAGCCACTGTGCCTGGCCTGTATTTTTTTTTTTTTTGGTAGAGACGGGGTTTCACCATGTTGTTTAGGCTTATCTCAAACTCTTGAGCTCAAGCTGTCCACCCGCTTCAGCCTCCAAAAGTGCTGGGTTTACAGGCATGAGCCACTGTGCCTGGCCTATTTCTTAATATGTAAGTTACTAAACTAATGTCACTATCCTTTTAATAGCCAAAATTCCATAATTGATTTAGGGTTACAGTTCAGAGCTTACAGATTACTTTCTGGGTGTCTTCTTCAGATGGCTGCTTTTTGTTTTTCCCTCTGTTTTCTTGAGGACAAGTGTTGGAAAGCCGAGTGCAGAATATATCTTCCGTAGAAGCCAGCTTTTGTTATGGTAACTTCTGTTAAATGGGGTAGGTATGATGATACTCACCTTCATAAACATTCTTCTTTTTTAGCATCTCAAAGACAAATTTTGGAATTTTATTTTCTACAAGTTTATTTTCATCTTTGGTGTGCTGAATGTCCAGACGGTGGAAGAGGTGGTCATGTGGTGCCTCTGGTTTGCTGGACTTGTCTTTCTACACCTGATGGTTCAGCTCTGCAAGGATCGATTTGAATATGTGAGTTTTTAGCCAAGCATTTTGCTTGCTTAGTCACACGTTTGCCAGCTTTGAATTGTGTAACATGAATGAGCCACAGAAGGCATGGTCCGGGTAGCTCACCTGGGAAGACTCCTAGATCAGGCCCCCATTACCTGTTTCTTGAAGAACTTTCTGCAGCAGCCAAGAGATGCAGAATTGATGTCTGCTAGGGAGCTTTCCTCCCAGCCCTGCAGTATATTACATTACACTTCACCTATGCAAACTGTTTTGATCACAGTGCAAGGAAACCTTGATGCATAAACGATAAAATCTGGTCTTTTCTAGATATTTTCTCCGTCTCCCTCCACTCACCCTGGTTCTCGGAGCTCTTCTTTCTGACTAGTTTATACGATTTCCACCCCTGGGCCAGGACTGAATTAGCTCCCTTAGCTTCCTTGGTTGCGTAAGTGAATTATTTTATATCTGGTACAAGATCTGAGCCACTTGGTTTCAGACCATAGCTGTGTGGGTGAACCCCCACCCATTAGTGACCTAAAGTAATCTCATGAGTCCCAGATAAGTGTGCACCTACAATGCTGCCCCTCAGTTAAAGCCACTCCAGGGCCTTGTTTTTCCCTGTCTGTACCCAGTCCACATGGACCTTGCACCTCTGTGGGAGTTAATCCCACTCTCAAAACCTTTATTTCTTTCACATTCAACCCTCATTTGCAGTCACAAACTGGAGCTTCTAACCTCCCAAACTGGTTTTTTTAAAAATCTACGCCTGCAACCTCAGGAGTTGCAGCTCCAGGCCCTCTTTTCAGGCTGTTGCCTCTACTTGCGTAATGCTGACATCACATTGTAATAGTGCTAACTCTGCGCCTGGATTGCATTTCAGTTGTCCTAGCCCGAACAGACTGGGAATGCCAATTTCAGGGAGGACTAGAGCAAGATTGAGAAACACAACAGAATAGGCACTGTCCTGAGTCTTGTTGAAGGTGAGAGGAGAGAGTTATATACCCTTGGAACATTGCTTCTAGAGGTTTATAATCCTAGTGCTAGGAAGATCCTTAGAGTAAGAGAGAGAAATATAATGCATACCTAAATTAAATGATAAGGATCTCCAAATATCAGCTCACGCTCATATTTGGGTTATTGTAGAATTGGACCATATAGTGATGGGATGCATTTCTGTGCTTAGCACAGAACCCGAAGCAGAGAAGCCAAGACTGACCTTGAATTTCTCAGTAAAGTTTAACACTGCCATGAAGAAGAATGAGCAGTTTCCCTTTGTGTGCATTTCAGCTTTCCTTCTCGCCCACCACGCCTATGAGCAGCCATGGTCGAGTCCTGTCTCTGTTGGTTGCCATGCTGCTTTCATGCTGTGGACTGGCAGCTGTCTGCTGCATCACTGGCTACACCCATGGAATGCACACCTTGGCTTTCATGGCTGCAGAGGTGAGATGCTGGACACAGGACTTGCTCAGATTGTGTTTCTGTCTGTTTTCAAGGAAGTTGGATGTTTGACAGGTTATTTTCACTCATGAAATGACGGGGATATTTGGTCTTAGTTTTAACAAGCATTTCAGTTCCTTTTTGTGTGTTGGGTACTGGTACTGAATGCTTTTATGTGGTATTTTATGTAATTCTTTCTTTACATGGGGTATAAATATGTTACAGAATAACGAATATGTAAACTGTATTCATCATTTTGAAGGAAAATCTGATCTATTCATGATTTTCCTCCGGCCAAAGGCAAAGTACTTTTACCCATAATTAGTATTATTAATTAAAAAATGAGATATTAGATAAAGTGAAGCTAACTGGCTAATATCAAAACACTAAGTTTAAACTAATTGGGAATTTTGTGGAGCAGAGTTAAAGTTTATTTCTGTTTGACAGCATTCACTTTGGAATACATTTAGTAGTATAAGTAAAATTAGAAAAGGAACAGTTAAATACATAATGTTAATTATGATATAATATTATAAATAAAATATAATAGTCCTAATATAAATAATAGGACATGTAATCTTAGTTGAATAGTATTCAATACAGAAAGTATTCTGTATATGAAAAATATACAACTGTATTTCATCTTGACACAAAATCTGTTGAAAAATCTATTTACACTGACTTATTTCCTTTGCTTTAGATATATTTTATTACAAAGCACCGTTAGAATAATACTATAGTATTATTTGCCGTTTTTGGTTCTCTGACTTTCAACTAATACAATACTAGTCCAAACTTTGACAAGTGTATACCTGAAAATAAACACATTTAACCTAGGCCTGTCAGGTCATACTATAGTATATGCTTTTATTTTAGCTAGTTACTGTTTATTCAAGATAATTTATCATATTACAGATTTGATATTTTAAAACATTTCTTATAGAGTTTCTCATGTAAAATGTTTTACTTATAAACAGGAATTTAAGCTCAAACATAAATAATAGTTTTATTCTACTAGATTAATAGGACTTTTTTCTTAATGAAACATGTCTTTTTTTTTTTTTTTAAGACAAGGTCTCACTTTGTTGCCCAGGCTGGAGTGCAGTGGTGCAACCTCGGCTCACTGCAACTTCCACCTTGTGGGCTCAAGTGATCCTCCCATCTCAGTGTCCCTAATAGCTGTGACCACAGGCATGAACCACCATGCCTGGCTGATTTTTTGTTTTTTTGTAGAGGTGGGGTTTTGCCATGTTACCCAGGCTGGTCTTGAACACCTGAGATGAAGCAATCCACCCACCTTGGCCTCTCAAAGTGCTGAGATTACAGATGCGAGCCACTGTGCCTTGCCATCAGTTTCTATAATAAAAAATGCCCTTCAAGACCAGCCTAGCCAACATAGTGAGACTTTGTCTGTACAAGGGGGAAATAGCCATGAGAGGCTTATTTATTTATTTATTGAGACAGGGTCTGGGGTCTGGCTCTGTCACCCAGGCTGGAGTGCTGTGGTATGATCTCTGCTTACCACAGTTTCCACCTCCAGGCTCAATCCATCTTCCCACCTCAGCCTCCCAAGTAGCCAGGACTACAGGAACATGCTACCATTTCCAGCTAATTTTTGTATTTTTTGTAGAGATGGGGTTTCACCATGTTGCCCAGGCTGGTTTTGAACTCCTGAGCTTGAGCAGTCCTCCTGCCTCGGTCTCCCAAAGTGCTGAGGTTAAAGGCATGACATGGCCAACCTTATTTTGCTTTTGATTTCTTTCATTTTCTTTTCTGCTGGTGGACAAAGGGAGTGCACAAAGCACTAGGGAGAGAGCAGGTCCTCTTATCTAGGATAGCAGTACCTAAGCTATATTCGGAGTTACAGCATCACCCTTCTAAGTAATCTGTTACAGTGATTTAATTCTATGTGAAATAGAATTGATGGTCAAACTACCAAGGTGAACCTCAAGATTATAGGGGGATTCCCAGGAGATGGACAGGTGTAATTGGTTGTCACCTGTTAACAGGACTTTTCCTCAATATAAATTGGGTTTCTAAATCATAAAAATATTTCATGGAAATTTGAAGCAGAGAAAATAAAATAATGGGTAAACTTGAACAATGTGATTTTTTTTTTTTTTTTTTTTTTTTTTGAGACAAAGTTTCGCTCTTGTTACCCAGGCTGGAGTGCAATGGTGCGATCTCGGCTCACCACAAGCTCCGCCTCCTGGGTTCAGGCAATTCTCCTGCCTCAGCCTCCCAAGTAGCTGGGATTACAGGCACGCGCCACCATGCCCAGCTAATTTTTTGTATTTTTAGTAGAGACGGGGTTTCACCATGTTGGCCAGGATGGTCTCAATCTCTTGACCTCGTGATCCACCCGCCTCGGCCTCCCAAAGTGCTGGGATTACAGGCTTGAGCCACCGCGCCCGGCCAACAATGTGATTTTTAATTGAACCGAGAAATGTTTGTCTTTTATCATTTTATAAAAATAAATTTGGTCTGAACAATGCTAAATTTTACTAAAATGAAAAATATCCTCTTTTATAGTCTCTTCTTGTGACAGTGAGGACTGCTCATGTGATTTTACGGTGAGTAAAATTTGGGAGGGAGGTGATCGAGGCCTACTCATAGAATTGATTTTAAGATGTAGCGGGTATGAAATATATAAAAATCTGACTAAACTACAACATGGTTAAACCAAATTCAGTTGTAACAGTAAATTAATAAGGTGTTCTCTCTCTTCATTACAGATACGTAATTCACCTCTGGGACCTCAACCATGAAGGGACGTGGGAAGGAAAGGGGACATACGTCTATTACACAGATTTCGTCATGGAGCTCACTCTCCTGTCCCTGGACCTCATGCACCACATTCACATGTTGGTAAGTTCCCTCAGATGGAGCTCTAACAGAGGGCAAGCCTTTTAGAATTAGGAGCAGTAATGGTTTGTTCATTAAAAAATGAAACCTTAGGATTAAGATGTGGATGGACTACTTAAAAGACTAAAAATGAATATGGTTGCAAAGCTAGGGTCCCTCTTTTTGCCACTGGGTGTAAGGCAGTGCTATGGAACTGCTTTGGCTCGTGCCAACTCAGGAGGTGTTTCTTGTTATGGGAGACTTATTTTTAACTTTGCTGACCAAGTCAATAGATCATTCTTTTTGCATGAAATTAAGAAGCTACCTTTCTCCATAGTTTCCATGACTTTACATATTTAGCAGTTACTTTGTAGGTGGTAATGAGAATTCCTGCAATGTTCGCTACTTCACGGATTTATACGTTTTCCATCTTTGTAATTTAAAAAAAGTCTTTATACTTAATTCCCACATTCCTGCCACCATCGTTTACATTTTACTTTGGTATGTTAGAAATTACAGTGTCGTAGATCTGCTTCATTGGTTAGAACTTCAGTGATCTAATAATGGTGAGATTCAAAATAGTTGCTGGGCAACTTATTTAAATTATGAGCCTAGCAAGTAGCATTTTAAAATTATTGGGCTAGACATGGACATTTCTAAGTCTACTTTTTAAAAGAAACTTTGAAAACATACTTTTTTAAGAAAGCATGTAATTCTTTTTTTTAAAAAGCCTCCCTTCCCCCTCAAAAAAGGACAAAAACAAATGGCCAAAGATAACTGTTAAGATTTTTTTGTCTTTTTTTAAATTTTAATTTTTTTCCTCATGCTTGTTTCCTAACTGCTTCTTTTTATGTATTTGAATACATACATTTATAAGTTGACATCATATTTTAGACATACAGTTTTTTTTTAACTAATGTATTATGAACATTTTGCTATGCTAGCATCAGTTCTTTTAAGCCATTTTAATACTTTCAGGATAAAAATTTCATCAGGTAACTATACCATGATTTAATGAACCACATCCCACAATGGGTTATTTAGGTTATATTCAGTTGTTTGCTATTTCACATCTTTACATAATTTTTTTTATCATATATTAGTTTGATAAAGATAGTTATATCTTTATCATTTGTTTAATACTTTTTCATTTATCTAATACTATCTTCCCATATAATTGACCTTTAGAACTGTCGTTTATACAAACATAATAGTAATATGTAGTTGTTTAGTATAATAAATGTAATTAATGACTATATAATTACACATTTTTTGAGTTTACAACCTATTCTTCTGCTGGGCATTTTGTTTATTGTCATATTTTCTCTTTTATAATTGCATGGATAGACATCTTTTTGCGTAAAGCTTTTCCATTGCTGATGAATTTCTCAGGAAAGATGGCTGGCAATGGAACACCTAGGCTGACAAGCATGCGCATTGTTTAAATCATATGATAAATCTGTGTATTTCCTTTCTGAGAGACACTGCAGTTCACGTTCACCAATAGTAAAGAGACTCCGCTGCCTACTGCACCTTCCTCACTAGCAGGTTCATGTTTACTTTTACTGTGTGTTTTGTTCTCTTTCTGTTTAAGTTATTTGGCAACATCTGGTTATCCATGGCCAGCCTGGTCATCTTTATGCAGTTGCGTTACCTGTTTCATGAGGTGCAGCGTCGAATTCGTCGGCACAAGAACTACCTGCGCGTGGTTGGGAACATGGAGGCCAGGTAAGGAAGCACAAGTTGATGTTGCCTACATTTACTCATTTTCGCTTTTTAATAGTAGCAGATCTCAGATGTCAGAATGTATGTTTGCAAACTGATAACAGAGTGGTGGAGAGGAGAGGCTCTGGAGTCAGACTGCCTGGGTGTGAATCCCCATTTAGGTGCTGTGTGATTTGGGGCAATTTACTCGCCTCTAAATTAGGGATGATGACAGAACCTTCTGCCTAAACTACTGGGAGAATTTGGTGCAATAATTCATGTACTTAAAATGGTAGTGGGCACATAGTGCTCAGTAAGTATTAGGCTCTTATTCATCATTATTTGATTGTCATTATTATCAAATAGACGCTTCATTGGGCTTCTGCCCTGTTCATTTCCTGAAAGCGGGTCTCAGTTGTTCTCTGCACGTGTGTGTTTACACATACATACTTAACCTCATTGAAGGAGGCACTCTTTTGCCAAGCTGAGACTAAACCACACTTGGAGGTGCAAGATTAATGGATATCCTCTTTGTGCTCAGGGGCACAGCTTAGATCTCGTCTTTGTGCCCAGGGACACAGTTTGGATCTCCAGGGGCCTTGCTTCTCTGATTTGTCCAGATATGGTCTCCAAAGTCTTCACTAACAGCAGCCATTATTAAGACAGAGTTCCTGTGCATAAGTTTCTCACTCACTTTTTAATGGGCTTTGAAGATAAATTCTATTTCTGATTATCAAAAATGTTTTGCTGAACACAATTTCTTTGTAACTGTGCTGTGATACAGGTGCAGCCCATAAAGTGGTGTTTAGTGTGTGTGGAACTGACTCAGGTTCCTGCTGGGCTTGTTTTGTTTCCACAGGTTTGCAGTTGCGACTCCAGAGGAGCTGGCTGTCAACAATGACGACTGTGCTATCTGCTGGGACTCCATGCAGGCTGCGCGGAAGCTGCCCTGTGGACATCTTTTCCACAAGTAGGAGCTTTGTGCAGGGCCGTGTGGGACTGGTGTTCTGTCCAGGGCGTGTGGGTGTGTTTTGTACCCAGGCTTGAGACTCATCCTAGTGGAGGATTGGGGACATTACCTCAGCCTGGCCTTGCTGCTGGCAATGAGTGTTCTGGGAAGCTCTTGGGTCTCCTTCTTTGTGCCTTAGCCTCTTCCCTACATCATAGGACTGTTTCCCACCCATAGTTTGCCATCTTAATTTCTGGATATGTTAGCTGTCTTCATAATATGTCTTCTCCATTTTAGCTCTGAAGTACAGTAAGTATGCCTGTAAGATTTAAAAGAAAGGATTGGGAGGATTCCTTGCTTTCAGACAGCTTATTAGCTAATTGGGAGACAGAATATATAATTTTGCATTTTGTACATACCCTCAAACCTAAAAGCACACCAGAGAAGTGGATGGAGATAGGGACTAGACCAGGACCACTAACCAGCACAGAAGAGCTGTGCCTGTCGTCCAGGATTACAAAATAATCTCTTCAGTAATCCTTCTGCATGGGAGTAGATCCGAGATATCACTGGGCCTCTGTCTGTCTCACGTAAATGACTCTGTGTATAGGCTTTATGTTTGATGTTGATGGATCCTGAGGTAGCTTTTGTCCTTTTGCATGTGTTTTCAGTTTTGCATATTGGGAAAGCTCTGATCTTTGAATCTTTAATCTTCCTTTCTTATTTTACAATCTCAAAGAGTTTTTCTTCTTCTTTTTAATATAGGGCTTTGGAACTAGAATCTCAGTAACTTAACATATTTGTTGACAGATTTTTTTTTTTTTAATGTGCTGGGTGCTGTGTTAGGCTGTGGGGACAAAATGAAAATGACCAGTGTGGTCATTGCGTTCCTGGAGCTTATAGTGTAGAGGAGTCCAACATGAATGAACCAGGCACATTTATGAATTTTAAAGTGTCAATGAGTTAAGTGCTTTAAAGCAAAGGAACATGGTTCTTGAGAGCTTGTAACAAAGGATTCCAACTCCAACTTGAAGGAAGTGACTCTTGAAGATAAGTGGGAGTTAAGTCAGCAAAAGGAGGGATCAGGTGGTACTAGGTACTTGAGACAGAGGGAGCATTTGTGCAGCAAGAAGAAATGGAAGAGACTGAAAGAGAAGCTGTGTGGGAAATCCCAGAGAGTAAAGGAAAGGGGTGTCTGCTGAGGCAGAAGACACATAGGCAGGGTCTGGAGTACCATTGGGAGTGGTGAGATGCTATTGAAGGCTAAGTAAGGATTGGCGGGTAAGATTTGCTGTTTGAGAAGATCAGGGGGATTGGTTAGTAATGGCTGCAGTGGTTCTGGGGTAATCCCAGCACTTTGGGAGGCTGAGGCGAGCGGATCACCTGAGGTCAGGAGTTTGAGACCAGACTGACCAACATGGGGAAACCCCGTCTTTACTAAAAATACAAGAAAATTTGTCAAGTTTGGTGGCAGGCACCTGTAATCCCAGCTACTTAGAAGGCTGAGGTAGGATAATCCCTTCAACCCAGGAGGCAGAGGTTGCTGTGAGCTGAGATCATGCGACTGCACTCCAGCCTGGGCAACAAGAATGAAACTCCGTCCAAAAAAAAAAAAAGAGAATAGCTTAGACTCTGGTGGTAGAAGAAGAGTTAGTGAGAAGACAGATTTGAGGGGATCTGGAAGGATGTGGTGCTAGACTGGCTGAGGGAAAGTGAGGAATGAAAGAGGTGCCAGGCTTTCTCCAGTTTTGCGTCTTGGGCAATTGGTTGCAGGGTGATATTGTTTGTTGAGGTTGGGAAGACCAGGGAATTTGCGCACATTTCTCAAAATTATTTTGGTTAGTCCCTAAGGAGCTTGGAGGCTAGTTGGGAAGAATAGCTCAGAATAACTCTATTTTAGCTCAGAAATAATATCTTCAAGCATATGGTTAGATTAATTTTAGGATTTAATTTCTTTGAGGCAAAATTCAGATAATATCCATTTAACCATTTTAAAGCGTACAGTTCAGTGGCTATTAGTGTGTTCACAATGTTATGCAACCACCCTTCTCGCTAGTTTCAAAACCTTTTCATCACCCCAAAATAGCGCCCCATCGTCACTAAGTAAGCACTCTCCATTCCTTCCTTCTCCATCAGCTGGCAACCACTCATCTACTTTTTGTCTCTATGGATTTACCTATTCTGGACATTTCATATGAAGGAATCATACGACATGTGACTTTTTGTGACTGGCTTCTTTCACTTAGTATTTTTTTTAGGTCATCCAAGTTGTAGCATGTATCAGTACTTCATTACTTTTTAATGGGTGAATTTAAATAATTTTATAAATTAAACAATTTGTTTATCCATTCATCCATTGGTGAACATTTGGGTTGTTTTCACATTTTGACTATTGTGAATAATGCTGCTAGGCACATGCACTTGTAAGAAATATCTGTTTCAGGACTTGTTCTCACTTCTTTTGGGTATATGCCTAGGAGTGGAATTGCTGGGTCATATGATAATTCTATGTTTAACTTTTGAGGAAACGCCAAACTGTTTTCTACAGTAGCTGTATCACTTTATATTCCTACCAATAATACCTGAGGGTTCTAGTTTCTTCATATATATATGTATATATATATTTAAAGATGGGGTTTCACCATGTTGGCCAGACTGGTCTTGAACTCCTGACCTCAGGTGATCCGCCCGCCTTGGCCTCCCAAAGTGCTGAGATTACTGGCGTGAGCCACTGCGCCCAGCCTAGTTTCTTCATATTCTTGCCAACACTTGTCATTTTCTATTTTTGTTGATATAGCCATTCTTGTGTGTATGAAGTGTTATCTTATTATGGTGGATTTTGTTTTGTTTTTTAGTAATAATTCTTAAATATAGTTTTGTATTCTGATAAAACACAACATAAAATTTATCATTAGCCATTTTTAAGCAGATAGTCTGGTGGCATGAGGTACAATCACGTTGTTGTTCAGCCTTCATCACTATCTGTTTCCAGAACTTTTTCATCTTACGAAACTAAATTTGTCTCCAGTATACAACAAGCCCCCCTCTGCTCCTCCCAAAGCCCTTGGCAACCACCATTCTATTTTTCGTCTCTGTGGTTACTCTAGATACCTCTGCTGGCTTTGGGTTTAGTTTGCTCTTTTTCTGGTTCTGTAGGCATAAAGTTAGGCTTCTGATTTGAGAGCTTTCTTCTTTTTAGGCATTTTCTGCTACCAGTTTGCCTCTGACATTGCTTCCACTGCGTCCCGCAAGTTTGGGCATGTGTTTTTGTTTTCATTTGTCTCAAAGTGTCTCATTTTCCAAGTGATTTCTTCTTTACTCAGTGGTTGCTTAAGAGTTAGGATTTAATTTTAAAACACTTGTCTGCCTTGGGTTGAGTGAACAAATAGTTGTTAGGACGTGCTCTTGGTTTGCTTTACTTTGTAGCTTCGGGAATACATTGTGTGCTGAGGATCTAAGGAAAATTCAGTTTAATTTGTGATAATGTCTATATTCTTGCAGACACAATAGCTAGGTAATTTGTTGCTACAGAGGGTATTTTTGCAACATTTCGGAGTCCAGTGAGTAGATCTGTTTTCTCTCTAAAGTTTGATTTCTCTCAGTTAAGGACTCTAGCATTTAATTTTTAATGGAAAACTATATCTAACTAGTTGTACTCACCTTGGAGTTTTTAGGCTGTTAAATTTAATGTGAGAGGATTTTACAGTCTATGAAATAAATTTAGATTTGCTTATAAAAAGTATGTCACAGTGTAGCATTATTGGAAGGCAAGGATCTTACATACTTTTGTAATCCCCCACAGGCTAATTTTATTATACTAGTGTTGTGATTTAAGGGTGTCACTAGGAGAAGTGGACTTTAAAAAAGTAATTTATTTGACTGAATTATCACAGACAAATTATAGATAATTATTGCAAAATGTGATAGAGTTGGGTATGCACATAAAGACAGATGACATTATTTTGGAACATGACTGTCACGTAGTCTCATGACACAGAGACAGTAAGTAGCAGTTCCATCTTGTCCTCTAGGAAACTCCTATTACTTATGTACCATTCGGTTGCTAGAGACTCTGAGGGTTATCGTATTATGGTGAGGTTTTCCTTTATAACTTTATATCTACACATGTTCACAGATATTTAAAAGAAGACACAGCATTTTTATTCAGTGCCTACTTGAGCCCTTGGAGAAAGATAACAAATTCTCATAAAATGGATAGGGCCTTGGAGATTAATTCATCTAGCCATTTCTTTCTTTAGTGGAGAGGACTAGTCAAGAGAGGTTGAAGAGACCGCCTGGATCACACATCTAGTTAGTAGAAGAATTGAGACCAGATCCCACATTTTTTGCTTCTTACTCTAGTACCCTTTCCTTTAATGGACACCTCAAGTATTTAGTGAGTGTCTACCATAATTAAGGCATTATCATCTCCTGAGAGAGAGCAAAAGAAGCTTCGGCCTTGTTGGGAAAGCAGCATGCAAAGAGAAGAGGGTGGAGGACGTTGAGGTGGTGAATGGAGAGGAGAGTTTAAAGGTTAGCCGGGGAGGGGGAGGTAGGGACCTGTAGGGCTGTCATGCTTGAGGAAAAAGCAGATAGGAGGTCTTAGGAAGTTTGGTGCCAGATAAGTGAGTTGTAAGGAGAGGAGCTTGAGTGAGTGAGTGAGATTTTTGACATCAAGATTTTGAAGACAAGGCCAAGGTTATGACTGTGGTAGCTAAAGCAGAGTGAAAGATGAGTGTCAGAGTAGAGAACTCAAGGACATGAGAGGCCAGGATGTTGGATGATTCAGCCACATGGATTCTGAAGTAGCCAAATGAAGTTGGACAAGAAGATGGTGAGCCATGTTAGGAAGTCCCATTGAAGAGGGGTCACAACCAGGAACTTGGTAGATGACTTCATGTAATAATTAATGTTCCCAGCAGGACATGCTAGAAGTATAGTAAGGCAAGGAGATAATGTCCATAAATGCTTTTCAACACTTAAATCTCACTAGTGGTAGAGAGAAAATGAAATTGGAGCACATTTAATACATCCAGAGTACTTCTGGTAAATTCTCACAAAGTGTGTGCTAAGGGACAATCAAGGTTGTTGACATATCTTCTTTTGGACTTTTTGGTAGCTCCTGTCTTCGTTCCTGGCTGGAACAGGACACCTCCTGTCCAACATGCAGAATGTCTCTTAATATCGCCGACAATAATCGTGTCAGGGAAGACCATCAAGGAGAGAACTTGGATGAGAATTTGGTTCCTGTAGCAGCAGCTGAAGGGAGACCTCGCTTAAACCAGCACAATCACTTCTTCCATTTCGATGGTTAGTTGGTTTCAACCTCTAAAACTGTACCTAAGGGGTGTTCTCCCCTAAGCAGATACTGTTTTAATTATAAATTACCCTGTACAGACCAGTTTAATATTATACACTCATGTGCTCCATAACGACATTTCAGTCCATGACAAGCCACATATACGGCAGTGGTCCCGTAAGATGATGATGGACCTAAAAAATTCCTGTGGCCTGGTTTTACTATAATTTTTATCATTATTTTAAAGTGTACTCATACTTACATACAAAAAATTCACTGTAAAGCAGCCTCAGGCAGGTCCTTCAGGAGGTATTCCAGAAGAAGGTATTGTTATTCTAGGAGATGACAGGTCCATGCTTGTACTGTCCCTGAAGACTTTCCAGTGGGACAGGACGTGGAGGTGGAAGACAGTGATATTGATGTTCCTGACCTGTGTAGGCTTAGGCTAATGTGTGTGTTTCTATCTTAGTTTTTAACAAAAAAATTTTTTAAATAAAATTAAAACTTTTAGAAATATAAAAAGTCTTACAGAATAAAGATATAATGAAAGAAAATATTTTTGTACAGCTGTACAGGGTATTTGGATTTTAAGTTAAGTGTCACTACAAGAGTCAAAAAGTTAAAACAAGTTTATAAAGTAAAAAACTTATAGTAAGCTAAATTTAATTTATTGAAGAAAGAAACATTTTTTCTTGAATTTAGTGTAACCTAAATGTACAGTGTTTATAAAGTCTACAGTAGCATACAGCAATGTCCTGGGCCTTCACATTTCACCACTCACTGACTCACAAAGAGCAGCTTTAATCCTGCAAGCTTCATTCGTGGTAAGTGCACTATGTAGGTGTACTTTTTTGTTTTTTACATACCATATTTTTACTGTATGTTTCCTATCAGATATGTTTAGATACACAAATACTTAGCACTGTGTTACAGTTACCTGCAGCATTCAGTACAGTACGTGCTATACAGGATTGTAGCCTAGAGCAGTGGACTATATCATATAGCCTAGGTGTGTAGTAAGCTATACCATTTAGGTTTATGTAAATATATTCTATGATGTTTGCACAACAATGAAATCGCCTAACAACACGTTTCTCAGAACAAGTCCCTGTTGTTAAGCTATGCATTGACTGTATTTCAATTTTGATTGAAAGTGTTTAGGTGGAATGGATGGTTGGATAGGTAGAGATAGAACCAACAGAGAGGTGCCAGGCATTTTGCTAGATTCCGTGTCATCATGGGCGGGATGGGACAGGAGAGTAGTAGAGAAGTAAAACTGAATCAACCATGTTCTCAAGGAGTACACTTAATCAGCTCAATAGTTAAACTTTGCTCATAATGTGTTGCATTTGTGTAGCATTTAAGCATATAATGAACTATCATTGAGAAGCCTTTCTAGTGAGTACCACAAGCAGAATCAGAGCTGCAACCCTATTGCTTTGTTCATAAAATATAAATGTTCTGCCTGTCAGCAGTGTTAAAAGGAGTTATAATGAAAATCACGTTTAAAATTCTAAGGCTGTGCTTGTATCAGGGTCTGGTTGGTTATCCTTCCTTAATTCATAGTGAGCTGCTGTTGATTTTCATCAGTCCAGTATCACTAAATTCTGTGAGTTCATGTTTATAATTATTACTGTAACACAAGCATCCCTGATTTGAGTTTCAAGAATGGGGTGCAGTAGGGGTGGTGTCATGTTGGTGAAATCCTGCAAAGAAAGGACCAGGGGGAATAGAGTCACATCTCCCAGAAGAGTAGATGGGGCGGCTTGGCTCACTCGCCCCAGAATGCTGGAGGGGTATGGAGGGCCCAATTTGGTGCCTGTGAATGAAGGGTTAAACTTCTGACATATACTAGCAATATTGGAGATGAGACCTGGTTATGTAATCCATTATTTTATGATTTATGACTACTAAAAATTTAGTCAAAATAGATAAAATCAACTTTATTTCTCCCTAGTTAGTACATATGAAACAAGTATCCATTTCTTAAATGGGTACATTTTGTTTGGCAAGACCTTTGAGGTGGTCATTCTACTTGCATTTCTATTCCATGGATCAGTGTTTCTTTGTGAAGGAATGAAAAGCAGCCTTAAGTGTGTAGCTTGATGTTGGGTTGTTTTACAGCTGATTCTTGGTGCTGTTGTATCTTGGGCTCCTGTTTTTTTTGGAAAATAACAGAAGCAGCAGACTCTTTGTTGCCATTAGTCCATAAGCCTGTGTTGTAAAACAGCACAATTTAAAAAGAATTTTGAATCAGAAAATCAAGGCTTTTAAGATTTAGGTAAAAATACTTCCTGAAAGTAAATGTGAAAATGCCTCTAAATGAGTAGTCATTTGTGTAGAGCGTGAAAGAGAGGAGCCAGAGCTCATGTGTCGTAGAAGCTTTAGAGCCTTGAAAAACTTCCTCATCTCCCAGGCTGAGTGCGCGACGCTGGGCTGGGCTGGATCCAGTCCTCCTGGAAGGCAGGAGAGCTCAGCAGTGAAGGGTTCTAGAGCTTGCCTGTGTGGCTTCACATTTTGGCCATCATAGTTAAACTGTGTGATCTTGGACCAGTCCCCTAACTTCTGAGTGCCTCAGAGACCAAAGACCAAGGGTACTAGAGCCGTACCTTTGAGAAGGTTACAGTGAAATGATAATAGGAGGTACCATGTGGGGTGTAGTGAGGATTAAATGAGCTAGTCACGTGGAACATGGCACGAGAGGCCTGCCATACAGGAAGCACTCACTGAACACCAGCCATTACAGTGGCTGCCTGAGAGCAGATGACAGGGGAAAGAGTCAGGGCTCTGAAACTTATGCTGGATTCTTGTTTTCTTCAGGGTCTCGGATTGCGAGCTGGCTGCCCAGTTTTTCAGTTGAAGTGATGCACACAACCAACATTCTTGGCATTACGCAGGCCAGCAACTCCCAGCTCAATGCAATGGTAAGGCCCGCTAGCTGCTATAAGAGGATCACTAGGAATTAGGAGGGAAGGAACAGCTAGAGTGTGTGTGCTGGGTATATGACCTTGTTGGTCTTACTCTGCTCTGGCAGAATAGAAGGATTTTTAGGGGCTTCTTTTTATTCATTGGAACTGTTTACATTCCTGTGTTTTAAATTTTGAAACTCATTTTATTTCTGTGGTGGATAATCTAACCTTTTCTGAACACTACCAGGTTCACTCTGTTGTGATCTAGGCCTTCCTTGGGACTCCTTTGATTTTAGCCAAAAAAATTTTTTTTCTTTTGGAGACAGGGTCTTGCTCCATTGCCCAGGCTGGAGTGCAGGAGTGCGATCTCAGCTTACTGCGCCCTCTGCCTCCCGAGTTCAAGCAGTTCTCCTGCCTCAGTCTCCTGAGTGGCTGGGAGGCATGTGGGATTACAGGCATGTGCCACCACGCCTGGCCAATTTTTGTAGAGACAGGGTTTCGCCATGCTGGCCAGGCTGGTCTCGAACTCCTGACCTCAAGTGATCAGTCTGCCGTGGCCTCCCAAAGTGCTGGGATTACAGGCGTTAGCCACTGCATCCAGCCTTTAGCCAAGATATTTTGGGGAATTATTGACTCGAGTGAATGATGTGCCTTTTATTAAAAATTTTATGAGACTGGGCACAGTGGCTCACTCCTGTAATCCCAGAACTTTGGGAGGGCAAGGCAGGCAGATGGCTTGATTGCCTAGGAGTTTGAGGCTGCGGTGATCTGTGCTCATACCATTGCACTCCAGCCTGGGTGACAGAGTGAGACCCCATCTCTTAAAAAAAAAAAACAAAAAACAGAAAGGCTGGGCACAGTGGCTCACACCTGTAATCCCAGCACTTTGGGAGGCCAAGGCAGGTGGATCACCTGAGGTAAGGAGTTCGAGACCAGCCTGTCCAACATGGTGAAACCCTGTCTCTACTAAAAATACAAAAATTTGCTGGGCATGATGGTGTGCACCTGTAATCCCAGCTATTTCGGAGGCTGAGGCAGAAGAATTGCTTGAACCTGGGAGGCAGAGTTGCAGCGAGCTGAGATCACATCATTACATTCCAGCCTGGGTGAGAAGAGCGAAATTCTGTCTCAAAAAAAAGAAAAAGAAAAACTGTATGAGGCTCACCAGATGTGTGTTTTTGTTCCTCATCTCTTCCTCCCTTTCCTTCAAAAATTGTGTGTGTGTGTGTGTGTATGTGTGTTTGCGTGCGTGCATGTGTATGCATATGTGTATATGCTTTGAAATGCTGAGGCATGGTATTTGCTCAAGGATATTGTTTGAATACTTCAAGTTTCTTTGTGTTTTTCCAAAGGAATGTGTTGTTATTTTACAATGATGGAGAAACATGTTTCACCATTGTTGAAATCCAGTGCAAACCACCTTAGCCCTGCTTGGATTAGGACCTCTGGCTGACCTGGATAAGCCCTTGCCAGTGCTTTGGAAGGTCATTGGTTTATAAGTTAATTAGTTGATCTTTACTGATGGATTGAACAAATTTGAACTGAGAGCCGATTCCTGAGACAGGCACTATGATGAATAGCACCTACAATGTCGGTAAGGTAGACACAAGTCTCACTCTCAAGTAGGGTAGATACTAACTGGGGAGACAGGTCATAAATATAAATAAGGTGACTGCTGATGGTGATGAGTACTCTGGCAGCAATAAGGCAGGCAGTGTGGTGGAGTGGGTGGGTAGAGGCCAGAGGAAGCATTTTAGAAGAGGCATTTGGAGAAGTTCTCTTTGAGGAGTATATAAGCTAAGACATGAAGGATGAGATGGAGCTGGATTGGCGGAAGGAGGCAGTGGAAACAGTAGGTGCAAAGGCCATGAGGTGAGAGTGTTGGGAACTGAGAAAGGCCGTTATGTTTGGGGCCTAGCAAGTAGGGGACCAAGACTGTGATATAAATTGAGATTGCATAGCCAGAACATGCAGGGTTTTATAGGCCACAGCCAAATCGATATCTTGTAAAAGTGTTAGAAGGCCAGTCAGAGCTTTTACAGACCCCACCACCACCACCAGGGGACTGACAGAACATTTAACAAAATGATTTTGCTTTTGGGAGGAGGATGAATTATAGAGGGTCAGAAATGGAAGCAGCAGGACCAGCAGTTCAGATGTTGCTGCAGTAGTCAAGGCAAACTCACACGGGGACTTGGACAGGGGTGTTGGTAATAAAGGTGAAAAGAAGTGGCAGATGTAGGATACGTGTAAGGTGAGCTGGCAGGACTTGGTGCTTTGGTTGGATATGGGGGTAGTGGGATGAGAGAAGTGGTGGAATGGAAGCTGCCTTGTTGGCTTTGAATTAAGCAGCTGAATTGACAGTGGTACCATGTAATGAGATAGACAAACTTGGGAGACACAGGCATGAGGATGGGGCGCAGCATTCTGTTTGGGTAAGTTTGGGATGTTCTATAGACCGTTCTGGACCTTAGGCTATTAAGCGAGAGATGCACATTTGGGAGATTGAAGCCTGGAGGTGACATCTACAGCAGGGGACAAAGAGAAGAGGACTGACGTCAGAGCTCTAGGTCCTGCCATGTTCAGAGGTCTTACAGAGAGGGACGAGCCATGACAGCCGGTGGAGAGGGAAGGAAACCAGGAGAAGGTGGCAGCACAGCACTGAGGATTTTGGGTTTCCAGGAGGGAAGAGTCAAGCGTGCGGAATTCTTACAAGATGAGCTCATAGAAGTACATGTTGGATTTGGCCCAGTGGGGGTGATTTATTAGCTGGAGAATAACTAGCACTTTCCATGGCCCAAGGGGTTAGACACTAGATTGTGGTGGATTGAAATGAATGGGAGCTTAAGAAATAGACCATAGGAGGAAGTGTTATGAAGAAGGACACAGAGCAGTAGAGGTGGTAGCTTGATAGGGGTGTGGCATCCAGGGTTGTGTTTTGGTTTTTAAGATTTTTGAATTAAAAATTAATTTACAAGTTTTGAAAACTACAGGAGTATACAGCGAAGTCATGCTCCCATACTTTTCCTGTGTGCCCAGCTCCCACGTCCCCTTAATAACATGGGTTAGTTTCTTATATATTACGTTGCTTTAGAAGGCTTATAGGCTCATATAAGGCAATGCTAGTATTTATTCTTTTTCGACAGAAAAGAAAGTGAATGTTTTTCACATTGTGCACCTATCACCACTGTCCATCTATAGAACTCTTTTCATTTTGCAAAATTGAAACTCTGTGGCAAGTCTGTCCAACCTGTGGGTGCATGTAGCCCAGGATGGCTTTGAATACAGCCCAACACAGATTCATTAACTTTCTTAAAACATTGGGAGATGTTTTGCAGGTTTTTTTTTGTTTTTGTTTTTGTTTTTTAGCTCATCAGCTGTCGTTAGTGTTAGTATATTTTATGTGTGGCCCAAGACAATTCTTCTTCCAGTGTAGCCCAGGGAAGCCAAAATATTGGACACCCCTGCTCTATACCCATTAAACAGTTAACTACTAATTTCCCCCTCCCTCTGGCCCTTGGCAACCAATATGCTACTTGCTTTTTCTATGACTTTAACTACCTAGGTACCTCATATAAGTAGAATTATACATATTTGTCATTTTGTGACTGGCTTATTTCACTTAGCGTAATATCATGGTTCATCCATGTTGTAGCACAAGTCAGAATTTTTTTCCTTTTAAGGTTGAGTGATATTTCATTGTATGTATATACCACATTTTATTTATCTATTAATCTGCCACTGGACACTTGCATTGCTCCCACATTTTAGCTATCGTGAGTAATGCTACTGTGAACATGAATATGCATATATTTCTTTGAGACCCTGCTTCTAATTCTTTTGAGTACTCATGAGTCTTTTTTGTTTGTTTGTTTTTAAGACTACTTTTTTAGAGCAGTTTCAGGCTTACAGCAAAATTAAGAAGACGGTACAGAGATTTCCCATATACCTCCTGTGCCCACACATGCACAGGCTTCGCTATTATCAACATCCCTCAGCAAAGGGTATGTTTGTTACAGTTCATGAACCTGTGTTGGCACATCATAATCACCCAAAGTCCATGGTTTACCTCTGTGTTCCCTCTATAGGTTTGGACAAATGTATAGTGACATGTATCCACATGATACAGAATATTTTCACTGCCCTAAAGATTCTGTATACACCCTCTGCCTTTTCTTTCCTTCCCCCAGCCTCTAGCAACCACTGATCTTTTTTTTTTTTTTTGAGATGGAGTTTCGCTCTTGTTACCCAGGCTGGAGTGCAATGGCGCGATCTCGGCTCACCGCAACCTCCGCCTCCTGGGTTCAGGCAATTCTCCTGCCCCAGCCTCCTGAGTCTCTGGGATTACAGGCACGTGCCACCATGCCCAGCTAATTTTTTGTATTTTTAGTAGAGACGGGGTTTCACCATGTTGACCAGGATGGTCTCGATCTCTTGACCTCGTGATCCACCCGCCTCGGCCTCCCAAAGTGCTGGGATTACAGGCTTGAGCCACCGTGCCCGGCACCACTGATCTTTTTACTGTCTTCATAGCTTTGCCTTTCCAGAATGCCATACATTTGGAATCCTGCAGTATGTAGCCTTTTCAGATGGCTTATTTCACATAATTATTTGCATGCATGTTTCCTTTATATCTTTTCAGGGATTGATAGCTCATTTCTTGTTAGCACCAAATAATATTCCATTGTCTGGATATACTACAGTACTTTTTTTTATTGCATTTTATGTTTTGGGGTACATGTGAAGAACATGCAAAATTGTTGCATAGGTACACACATGGCAGTGTGATTTGCTGTCTTTCTCCCCATCACCTGTATCTGGCATTTCTCCCCATGCTATCTCTCCCCAGCTCCCCACCCTCCGCTGTCCCTCCCCTATTTCCCCTCAGCAGACCCCAGTGTGTGATGCTCCCCTCCCTGTGTCCATGTATTCTCAATGTTCAACACCCACCTATGAGTGAGAACATGTGGTGTTTGATTTTCTGTTCTTGTGTCAGTTTGCTGAGAATGATGGTT